AGTTGGTTCCACAGGAGAGGAGCCTGATAACTAAAAGATCTGCCTCCCATTCTACTTTTAGAAATTCTAGGGACCCTGGTTCTGTTGTTTCTGCATCCTGAACCCAAACATAGAAACAGGGTATCAGATCAATTCTAAACATTTGCTGTGGATGAAGGGAAACAGAACCAGGCTGTTAACCTATATTATTTTAGCACAGCTGGTAGAACTCAGAGTTTAATCAGATTTTCTATCCTTCCTCCTCTTCCTCAGTCCGCCCTGCTTCCCATCTTCAGCTGCCTCCTGGATCCATACTGAATCGTCCTCCTTTGACTGCCCTATCCTCCTCTTCATCCTCATCATCCTCTGTACTCTTGCCTTCACCGTCTTTTGAACCCTCATCTTCCTCAGAGTCCCCCCGGCCCGCCCCATCTGTTTCTTGGTCTCAGCAGAGCTCCTTTCCTACTAAAGTCGTCCCGGCCAACCGTCTCCAGGACCCCATCATTCTCCAGCTCCCTTTCCTGCCCCCCACTAAACCAGTGGCTCCTGAAGGTGGCCTCCTACAGACCCAGGGCCAGACCCCTCGAGTTCTCCCAGTGCAGTCCCCGGTGTATCAGCAGGCTGACATGGTGGACCGATCAGACATGGTAGCTGAGGACATGACCGTCCAAAAGCAAGGTGTTTCAGACCAGCTGAGCATCCATACACCTGCCGAGTGCGCTCGTACCCGGGGGGACCCACGCCCAAGGCCCATGCCTGATGGCTACAGCTCTGAGCAGGACTGTGTGTCTGACCCAGAAGACTTGGACATTGTGTGTGTCGAACAGATGGAAGTGGTGGATCTCTTGTCTAGCAGCGAGACGGATAACTCTTCAGACTTCGGAGACTCTGAGGCTGAAGACGAGAGGGGGCTGGCTGCAGATAAACAGGTAAAACCAGAACTTCTTGTCTAGAAATTCGTTTATATATGACCCAGGAGGAACCAGTTAGTTCAGAATCACTGATCACGAGATTTCAGTAAAGAATTACAATAGTCCAGCCTTGAAGTAACAAATGCATGGACTAGTTTCTCAGCATCACCCCTGGACAGGAGATTTCTGATTGTTCCTCAATAATCTGCAGATGAAAGAAGGAAATTCTAGAAAACTCTTTGATATGGGATTTAAATGACAGGTCCTGATCAAAAATAACACCAAGATTTTTTACTTCATAATCTGAAATCAGTTTAATCCCATCCAAATGAAGTGACTGGCTAATCAGCTTCTTTTTCAGAGACTCTAGTCCAAAGACTATAACTTGTGTTTTGTCTGCATTCAGGAGCAGAAAGTTAAGAGTCATCCAGGTTTTTATGTCTTCAGACATGCCTGTAATTTTTGTAATGGGTTAGCTTCATCTGGATTATAGACAGATATAGCTGGGTATCATCAGCATAACACTGAAAATTAATCCCACGCTGTCTAATAACTCTACCAATTGGGAGCATGTATATAGTAAAGAGAATTGGTCCTAGCACTGATCCCTGTGGTACTGCACAGGTAAACTTTGAGCATGAGGAAGATTTATCATTAATGTGAACAAACTGAATTCGATCAGATAGATAAGATTTAAACCAGTCTAGTGCTGTTCCTTTAATTCCAACAAAATATTCAAG